CAGAGCCGTATATCTCGTATATGCAGGACGTGCTGGCTCTATGTCATAAAGTCGACAACGACATGTCGGAGTCGGATAGGGTTGGCCACGTCCTCAAGGGTATAGCGGACGATGCGTTCAACCTGCTAATGTGCCGGAACTGCACGACCGTTGAGGATATTATTCAGGAATGCCGGCATTTTGAACAGGCCAAAACCAGGCATATTTCAAGATCTTTCACTCGACTGCCGAACCCCGCTGCGACGTCCTCCTGCGAAGATTGGCTGACCTCTCATCAGCAGTCTTCACCGGCGTCCGAAATTACGCGAATCGTCCGGCAGGAGATCGAAGAAATTACACCTGCTCTTCCCACCAACGGCCCCGTCGATTCTCAAGTACCTCAGGTTTGCTTGGTAAAGTCGATCGTGCGGGAAGAGCAATTTGGGCTTCGATGTCTGCGCCGTTGCTCAGTCTCGATTAATTGACTTCCGTTCAAGGTCCCTGCCGCGTCCCAGGTCACTGCCCCAGGAACGGTCTTTTCCATGCTCTCGCAATCCGGCCGAATGGCAAACGGCGGAGGATCGGCCGATCTGCTTTAACTGCCGCCGCATAGGGCACGTCGCACGGTATTGCCGCAACCATTGGTCTTCGTTGCGAACACAGTATAACACTGCTCGCCGCGCCGACAGCTACTGCCGCCTTCCACCCTTCGATGCCCCTAATACGCAGCACAGCCGCTCACCGTCGCCTCGACGTCATCAGTCTCATTTGCCGCCTGCACATCGCCCGTCGTCCCCTTCTCCTCTACGACGACGCCCGACCTCCCCGCTCAATTCTCATATAGGAAACTAAGCAGAAGAGCTCTTAGAGGTGAAGCTGCATCCTCGATACCGATCTTAAATCCTCTCCTTGTACTGCTGACACGACAAAATTTGATCGACGTAGACGTTGACGGCCTGACTGTTTCTCCACTTATTGACACCGGGGCGCATATTTCTGTGATAAGTGCCCGACTTCGTCACCGCCTGACGAAAGTTCTCACACCGGCTGCTTCTGGCATTATTCGTGTCGCCGACAGAAAAAGTCTTGCCGTCATAGGAATGTGCACAGCACGCATCACAATCGCCGATCACCCCACATCTGTTCTCTTTGCAGTTATTGAGCAGTGCCCCAATGACCCGATTCTTGGATTAGATTTCTTGTCCACTCATGCCGCTCTCATCGACTGCGCAACCGGCGCTCTCCAACTTCAACTGCCTCAACTTGGGGCTGTGCCGTCCTCACCGTCACACCGATTGTGCGCTGTTGATTATGTTCGGCTGTCACCCCAAGCCACCACGTTAGCGGCCTTAACAATATCACCAGCTCTTCCTGACGGTGACTACATAGTGTCTCCATTAGTGGATGTGCTCTTGGCGCGAAGTGTTGCTGTGCCGCATACCATCGTGACTATCGTGGACAACTACGTTCAGTTTCCGCTTCTCAACATTAGTAGTTCGACCCAAGTTCTCCCGCAAGGCATTTCGTTAGGCCATGTTTCCCCACTTGATGCATGTAACATCGTGGCATTAGACCCCGAGGACTGCTCGTCTCCTATTGCAGCCAGCCGAGCAAACGCACCTACCGATGAAATCACGATGATGATTGCCCCTGATCTTCTGCCCTGACAGGCTGCGCAACTCCACCACGTTCTGACCACCTACCGAGATATTTTCAACATCGATGACCGCCCTTTAGGTCAAACGTCCGTCGTGCGTCATCAAATACATACCGGCGATGCTAGTCCTGTTAGACGGCGACCATATCGTGTTTCCCAGTCCAAACGCGAGGTCATACAACGAGAAGTCGAGAAGATGCTTTCTAAAGGAGTCATAGAGGCCTTTTCAAGTCCATGGCCGTCACCTGTTGTTTTAGTCAAAAAGAAAGATGGCAGCTGGAGATTTTGTGTTGACTACCGTGCCTTGAACAATATAACCCGCTAAGACGTATATCCGCTGCCCCGAATCGACGACGCCCTTGACTGCCTTCATGGCGCGCGATACTTCTCATCTATAGATCTGCGTTCGGGCTATTGGCAAATTTCCGTCGACGACTTAGACCACGAAAAAACTGCCTTTGTCACACCGGACGGCCTTTATCAGTTCAAGGTTATGCCTTTTGGGCTATGCAACGCCCCGGCAACCTTCGAACGCATGATGGACTCTCTCCTCCGTGGTTATAAATGGTCCATCTGCCTTTGCTATCTCGACAATGTGATTGTTTTTTTTTTCCAACGTTTGAAAGCCACCTACCTCGCCTGTCGACCATTCTAGCCGTTTTTCGTTGAGCGGAACTCCAGCTGAACTCGAAGAAGTGCAATTTCGGCCGACGAGAAATCACGGTCCTTGGTCATCGTGCAAGTGCTGCTGGCGTCCAACCGGACCCCGATAAGATTAGCGCTGTCAAGAACTTTCCTATTCTTTCTACTACCAAAGATCTTCGTTGTTTTGTCGGCTTATGCTCGTAATTCCGACGTTTTATACGCAATTTGGCTACAATTGCACGACCACTCACTGATCTTCTCAAAAAGAATGCGCCCTTCTCGTGGGGCCAAGACCAAGCAGCTGCGTTTTCCATGCTGATCCAGGTGCTCACTTCACCACCAATATTGGCTCACTTCGACCCGTCCGCGATGACTGAAGTTTGCACAGACGCCAGTGCTCACGGCATCGGCGCCGTCCTCGCTCAACACCAGGAGGGCCAAACGCGTGTTATTGCGAATGCCAACTGCCTTCTCTCCACATCTGAGCGAAACTATTCGATAATGGAGCGCGAGTGTCTTGCGCTGGTCTGGGCTGTAGTGAAATTTCGCCTATACTTGTATGGCCAGGAGTTTTCAGTTATTATGGATCACCACGCTCTGTGTTGGTTGCCGTCGTTCAAGGACCCAACTGGTCGCCAAGGTCGCTGGGCTCTACGTCTCTAGGAGTATGACTTCGACGTAATTTATAAGTCTGGCAGGTTACACCAAGATGCCGATTGCCTCTCGCGTTATGCGGTGAATCCTGCAAGCCTCGCCGTCCATGAGAGCGATTCTTGTGTGCTCGCCATATCCGATTTGCGCGACATCGGTACAGAGCAGCGCTGGGACGCAACCCTCAAGACTGTCATTGAGCGAATATCTTCAGGACATTCTAACCCTTCGCTCCGTCAATATGTCCTCCGCACAGAAATTCTGTACCACCGCAACATGAAGCCTGATGGCCCGGACCTTTTGTTGGTTATCCCCCGACACCTGCATACCACCATTCTTCAACATCTGCATGAAGCCCCGACAGCAGGACACCTAGGTTTTTCACGCACCTATCACCGCGTGCGGCAACGGTTCTTTTGGCCTGGCCTGTATAAATTTTTGCGCCGCTATGTCGCTGCTTGCGAGCGCTGCCAGCGTCGCAAACGTCTTACTCTCCATACGGCTGGCCTGCTCGAACCTTCGACATTCCCCCGGAACCATTCTTCCGCGTTGGCCTCGACTTGCTCGAACCTTTCCCAACGTCCGTGTCAGGCAACAAATGGATCGCTGTCACAACAGACTATGCGACCAGATATGCTATAACTCGTGCCTTGCCAAGTAGCTGCACTACAGACGTTGCCGACTTTCTACTGAATGACGTCATTCTGCAGCATGAGGCTCCGCGCCAGCTTCTGACGGATCGTGGCCACTGCTTCCTCGCAAAAGTTATCGACGAAATCCTCCGTAGCTGCTTTCCCGAACATCACCTTACCACTGCCTACCATCCCCAGACCAACGGTCTCACAGAGCGCCTCAACCGAACTCTTACGGACATGTTGTCCATGTAAGTCTCTGCTGACCACCATGACTGGGACGCAATGCTCCCCTACGTTACGTTTGCGTACAATTCATCAAGGCATGACACCGCCGGCTATTCTCCGTTCTTTCTTCTGTACGGCCGCAACCCTGCCTTGCCATTCGACACACTCCTTCTGATACTACCGAAGCAACGATGTATGCTCAGGACGTTGCTTCTCGAGCCCGCGTTGCTTGCCAAATCGCGCGCACTAGGCTCACTGCTTCTCAGGCCTCGCAAAAAGTCCGCTACGATGACTGGCCCCGCGACGCTGACTACCCTGCTGACTCTCTCGTCCTACTTTGGACGCCGCATCGACGTGAAGGCTTGTGCGAGAAGCTCCTTCCACGATACACCGAGCCCTACGAAGATCTCTGCAAGGTCACTGACATCGACTACCTCATTACTCCCGTTGAACCACCTTCATCTTCTGCCACAACACCTACTGATGTTGTCCATGTGTCGCGACTAAAACGCTACTACACTGCCAGTCCCGATTGATTTAGCGGCACCTTGACAACGCTTCGTCCGCCGGGGGTGACATTACGAGGCAGTGGACATGGCTCCGCCCCGTCGTAGACGCATCAATGAAGACGAAGCGGATTCGGCGCGAGATCCTAGCAACCCTGAGGTGTCACACCTACCTGCAAATATTGCAGGTACACTCCTTTCTATCTTCCGTGTATTTGTAATCCCCGTAGCAAATTGGTGGACGTGCTGGGTAACGAAGCGTACTACAATGGGGCTCCGCGCAGTGGTCGTCAAATCGGAGTTTCCATGATGGAACACGGGACTGATCCCACGGTCACCTCTCCATCGGTCTCGGCAACGCCTGCACCACCCCGTAACAATATACAGGGTGGCCAGTGAACGGTCGTGTAGGGCAAGCAGCCATTTTCTTTTACCAGCAAAGGAGGGAAAGGACTGTTTTGCGGGTGTCTTCCTGGGATGGCTCAAGACGCGCGCATGCGGCACGAGACGTGATCATGCAATGTGGAGGTGTGAACGGCGCCTCCGCCGACGCCGAAACGAGACATCGTGCGACTCAAAAATGCTCCGCTTTTTAAAAAGGGGACATCGTTTCAAAATGCAGCCCCAATGTTGCCACAAGGCTACTCCCCTCCCCTAGTGCTGCTGCATGTCCTGGGAGCAGGAATGCTGGTGCGAACTCACCACCGGGCATCTTACACGTGCCGATGCCCCAGGTGATGGTCTTGACGCCACACACCAACGTCTTCACCAGGCTCCGACAGTCAGCCACTGTGTAGCAGTTGTTCTGCATGTGATGAAAGCCAAAAACAGGAACCTTGAGCAAGCTTTTTCATGTGCGAAGATAATGGGTTTTCACACAGCGCAGTAGATCCCTGACATAAGCAGCACACATATTACCGCACGTGTATTTTACAAGTCATTTTCAGGGGTGCCACTCGAAAAGTGAGGTTTGAAGCAATTTTTGGAGTAACAAAATGTGAATTTATAACCAGTTTGGAGCACCTAAACAGGCATTTCGGAGAACTTTCGAGCACAATATATGCACACTGTTAAATACTTCTACAGAGAATTTCGAGCGTAATCACAACAAAACATTGTTTGCAAGGTAATGCCAAACACACTCCTTTTTATATTTTATGTAAGCTTGTGCGAATAGTGAATTTTAGGTTAGAAGCCAATAGCGATTTTGCTTGAATAACTTAGAATGGAATTCGAATGGTATGTATGACATGCAAAAAAATGAAAATATTTATCATGACTAACTATCCTGCACAATTTTTTTTTGAAGTAAGGGTTGATTGCAAATGCCATTTCTTTTTTTTTTTTTTTCAAAGAAACAGGAACAATTCAGTCATAGTGGGATTTGAGTTTCAGTGGGATGCGAGTGATAACTTGTAAAATAAGTAACATTTTATATTTACTATATTTAGAGCAATAAACCATCATAGCGAGCTTTTGAGCTTAACATTGATTTGAGAGTAATACTTGCATTTAAAGGGCCCTGCGACACTTTTCGAAGTGACGTATTTATTCAAATATAAGTTGACCTTTTTTTTCTGCAAATGTTCTTCACAATCAGCGATCGACCTATATTCGTGACCAAAGAATCTAGACCTATATTGATTGCTTCATTTGATTCGTCCCAGTACAGTGTAACAGGAGGCGGAGGCTAAAGCCCTAATGATGGCTTAAGTGATCCTTTACCCATTTTGTGAACTATGGCAGCAGCTGAAGGGCCACCCCAACATCATCACAATATCATATACCTTGCACAGGGCATCACAATATGACATACCTTTTTTTTTTTCCTTTACTCTCCCATTGTTTTGCATAAAGACCATGTCGAGAAAGAAAAACTGAAAGCACGATTTATACATAGCTTACACAAGAAAGAGACCTCATGGGACCTTCTGCACCTAAAGAAATTCTACATAGTTTACACAACAAAAAGAGCCGCCAATTCTGTGACACTTAAATGAGACACATCTATACCTTTGCTAATATAATTACTTAGAATTCTTGGAAGAGTACATCAGAGCATCGGAAAACCACAATTAGTGCGGAAGTAAGGAAGGTTCCACATTTGTGCATTCCTTTTTCCGTACGCCTTTTACTTTAAGCACAAATTCGCCATTTTCGTAAACGAAGAGTTTGAGCGCTGTGGGAGTTCAGCCCCGCAACGCTCAAACCAATTGGGTTATATCGAATTATTGATGTTTTATTGCACTGAATTCTCGATAATAAACTAGCTATTTGGAAAGCATCACCTAAATTCGCCCTCGCTGCGCGCCCAGTGGGCCCGCCGTCCCTTTGTGGCGATGGTCCGAGCTCGCGTGCACAGCTCAAACATGTTGCGGCGAGACGTCACGTCGCGATTTCTACGTCGACGTGTACATGTAGACAGATGAACGAGGACGCGACACCCCTGCTTGGAGCTCGCAGTGCTCAAACCTGCGGTGGTGTACCATGCAACACATATATTGGAAAGAGACTACACAGCGTCTGCAGCTAAAATGGTACTCTCAAAGCAGTCTGTATTGATATAGGTCATTCACTTTGATTATCTTGTATTTTTTAAACAGTGGGTCGCTAGGTGCTAGAAATATAGTGTTGTCTATCAGCCGTAGTATTTTTTTTTGTGTATGTTCAGAAATTTTTTCAAGTTTGTTTCTGCAGTTGTTCCCCAAACCAAATAGCAATATTTAAGAACTAAGTAGCGCTTTGTATATCAATAACTTCACCGAGTTGGGGTACCAGACGTTGTTGAATATTACGATTATCCGGCTTAATTTTATTTGAATATTGTTGACGTGGCATTCCATTGCAAAGAACTGGAGAAATGTACCCCAACTTTCACCAATTCCACTACTTGTATATCTGAGCCTCTCAATACAATGTTATTCTCCAAAGTCAATTGTTCACCATTAGGATGAAAAACTACGACCATTGTTTTAGTTGCATATATTTTTAACCTACTGTTACTTGTCCAGTTGTCTAACTTCTGTAAGACCTCATTAGCCTTATTAGAAAGAATAACATCTAATGCTGAAGTGACAAAAATACTCGTGTCATCTCCATAATAAACTCGACTTCTGGAAAGATATGGACTATTTCATTATATACAAAGTGAACAATAAAGAGCCAAGAATGCTCCCTTGTGGTACCCCTGAAATTATATTTTTCTTATCTGATACTAAATCATTTATCGAAACAAATTGACATTTATGTGCCAGATAGCTTTTAAGTAACATGAGTGGGAGCCCGGGAATGTCATAATGCTTTAATTTTTCGAATAAAATGCCATGGTGAATGCAGTCAAATGCTTGTGTGAAATCCAGAAAAATTCTGACCACTTTATCTTTTTGTTCAAACTGTTGTAGAATATATATATATATTTTTTTTTTGATCCAGTTGGACGAGTTTTGTAGACTTACTTTTTTGAAAGTCATATTGCGATTTTGTCAGGCCATGTTTAGTGCAAAAACACGATAAACTAAAAATAATTTTTTCGAAACCTTTAGAAAATACAGGGAGAATAAATATTGGTCGATAATTTGCAGCGTTATGCTTGTTCCCCTTTTTATAGAGAGCCATTACGTGTGCTGTTTTATAGAGAGCCATTACGTGTGAAGGAAAAGCCTCTGTCGAAACACAGAGATTAAATATGTGTGTTAGTACAGGACTGATCTGATCGATAACATATTTCACTGGTTTTATAAGCATTCCATCGGCGTCGCAGCTGCGGCTATTTTTTAGGGGGCGACACTGTACTTGAAAAGAAATCTCAGATATTTTCATGTGTTAATAAAGAAAATTCACAGATTGATTAAGTTTTTCATGCTGATTTCAGAAAAGTAATTACTATTCCTCTAAACTAATTATTTTTTAGATATCCTAAAATTCATTACCTATTGTTTGCCGGTATGACGACACAAGAAATTACCGTAATTACTCGAATCTAACGCGCACCTTTTTTCCGGTTAAGCGAGTTCATAAATCGCATGCACGTTAAAATCGAGTACGAACAAAAAAATTACGGTCAATCTATTGCCATCGGCAAATCCAAAATGGCCGCCCCCTACGTGCGTCGGCATGGCGCGTCGGCCATTTCTGCCTATGTGTTTCCCATGTGCGGCACTTCGTACGTGTGCTGAGGAGTTCGTCATCTAGTAGTGCATTAGCATCGACGGCGTGGAAGGGCTGACTCCAAAAACTCCAGTGCACCACGATGCCGCTTTTAAAAAAAAGTCATCGCAGGTGCAGAAACGTACGGAAATCGGGCCGCATCGCGGTCGTTCGGAGTTCCCGAAACGTGTGTGCGGGACCGGCGGAAACAAAAGCAGAAGATTGTCGACAGCAAAGCTTCACGCAAAGGCTTCAGTGGACCACAGCAGGGTCGGTTTCTGCAAACTAAAGAGCTGCTCGGCGAGTATGTGCTTGAGCAGAGAGCAGCACAGCGGCCCGTGACGACAGAGCTGCTCCAAGTGCGGGCTATGCAATTAGCCTTAGAAAAAGGTCTAATGCGGAGCCAGTTTAAAGCGAGCAGGTGCTGGCTAACTAACTTTATGAAGAGGAAAGGCTTTTCCTTCCGAAGGGGAACATACATATGCGAAAACATTTGCGGAGGAGTACGATGAAAAGCTTCACAGTTTTCAGAGGTTCGTCTAAACTTGCGGCGCAACAACGGCTACCTGCTTGGGCAAATCAGGAATGCCGATCAGATGCCTCTTTACTTCGACATGCCTGGCACCAAAACCGTCGAGAAGAAGGGGGCGAAGCAAGTTCGCGTGCTGACATCGGTCCACGGTAAAACTACAGTGACGGCAATGCTCTGTTACACGTCAGATAGGCACAAGCTTCGCCCGTACCTCATGGAAGACGCTCCCGAAAGGAGTCGTTTTTTCGAGTGGTGTGACCGTGCGGGCCAGCTGAGAAAAGTGGGTGTGCGTTGCAATCGATGTCTTACTTTTTTTTTTTTTTTCGCAGTGAAAATCAGGTGCACGTTACAATCGAGGGCGCGGTAGAATCGAGTAAATACGGTAGTATTGCAGAGCTACTATTGGGCACATGCCTGTGTACTTACTAATGAACATAAGCCACACAACGGTAGGAGTGCTTTTATGATTTGATAACTTTAGCAAAGTTTGTCGCACCTTGCATTTCAGTGTTGCAGAAACACCCACTTCATGCTCCAATTTCTGGCAAAAAATAAAATTTTTGAAGATCTCTATCGAAAATTCATACCTACCATTGTGTAAACTAAAGATACAGCCACATGTCACAACAAAAATGACAGTCCTAGCTGCTCTGGAAGCAGAAATATCTTTTAAACAAGTTTGCAATTGCAGCAAAATTTGAATCCTGAGAAATCATACAAAAACACAAGTCCATTTTGGGCAGGCAGTAGCATGGAAAAGCTGTTTATTTACGACGATGTGCAAATTCAGCTTTCTCAGTAGGCACCAAGCATGCAGCCCTTCTGTTTTGCGTCACCTAAATGACATTTTTTCAATGCCCGCTGCATGTTTTCCACAGAGGCACTCTAGCGAGCTGATGCAGTAGCCGTGTGCTCGTCCGCCAACTAGGCCGCTTATCAGTTTGGTGACGCCTATATGTGACGAATGTGCGCGTGTCATCCACAATCCGTTGTATAATAAAGCGATGTTTTCCAGCTTTTCCAGATTGAGTTGATGTCGCAGATTGAACTCGCACACTCGCTCATCAATTTCAAAGCTCCAAGAGCAGCGGGGTGTTAGTTTTCTTTTAACGCAAGATTGCCACATTTTCAAGTGGAGGCCGCGGCGCTATATGTTCATCATTACGGACGCGCCGTTACAAGCCCTCTACCTGTTGCCAGTAGCCTCCATTGAGCGGGCGGCGAGCACGTTCACCGTAAATGGATTGATTTTCCGTTGTTTGCCGACGCGCAGTGAACTCCACTCTGACGACTTGTCACACAGTTCACGTCAGACGAGGGGACCACGCGGCATCAGCGCGTTTAGTGATAAGACTGCGCTTCCGTTCCATCGTTGCAAACATTGCTATCTCTCATAGCTTCACTTCTGCATTTTTACTTGCCGTCCTGTAACAGTTGAGGCTCCAAAACACTGCCGCTTTCAGCGATGTTGTCGACAACCGACGAGCTCGTACGTGAGTTACGCCTACACCGGCGACTTGGCGACTGCCGTTGATCGCCGCAAGTTTGCTATCCTCCCTGTCCTAAGTAATAGCGGCGCACTTTCTGAAGTTCACAGCGAACGAACGATCGTTACACCCGCTTCACAAATTAGTGTTTCGCGGAACTTCTTTACTGTGGCAGGCAGTCGACAGCATCATGACAAAATGGCGCATGCCCGCGCGCGTCACGATGAAGAAGCAGACGCCGGAAATGCCACTTGGTCAATCGGGTGCCAAGATTGTCATGTGCCCCAAGCAACCAATAGAATCGCGCACTGTTGTTTCTCGATGATGCTTTTTTGCTGAAAAACCAATGAACAAGACGAGGCACTGGTGGCAGGAAATTGAAGATGAAGAACGACCCTTCTAAACGAGACCAGGATGACCACGATAGCTCGTGTGTAAGGCAACGGTTTGGCGTGGAAAAAGCACGACTTTAGCATCTATTTGTGCTCATATTATTCGCACAGGGGTGTTATAAATTGGTTTTGTGCCAGAAATAATGACACGAGAAGCTAGAAACTTCTCAGATAAGTGCAAAAATAGTTGCAGATTTCGAAAATGTCAACTTCAAAAAGTAGATTTTTTTGCGATTTTTGGCCTTTTAAGACCTGTGTTCACCCTTAAGCCGAAAAATACTGTGCGGACTTCTGGTTCAATAGTACCCGCTAAGAAAAACGTGTTTGTAGTTTTCGGACCTAGGGTTCATTAAGCAGTAGGTGATCTGTCGTCAAAGTCTCTGTAAATTAAGTAATCATTAAAAACATTTGCCATAGCTTCTCCGGTGACCAAGTTTCCATCATAGAGTACCTCTTCTGTTTTCGGATTGCGGCCCATCAAAGAGTTTATTCGATTCGATAAAACATGTGCTCGTTTCAAGCACACAGGGATTGTATGTGATGAAGCCCCTTGGATTTCTGAATTTCTTTACTTAAGGTATTTCAGAACTGTTTGAAAACAATTAGCTCTGCCTCGTCGTGCGTACGCATGAATTTCCGAAATAATCTGTCTTTCATGTCTATGTTGCGTAAGAGTTCACGTGTAATCTAAGGTTTCCGATAACCTTTACGTCTTTTCCGCTATAAGAAAAAGGGAATCGTTTATAAGGGAAGTGTGTTGCGTATAAACAGATAAAGGATTCTATAAAAGTGTCATAGGCTGCATTCACATCATTTTAGTAGAAAACATTGTCCCAATTCAAAGCGCCAATCTCTGAACGGAAGGCATCTAAAGCAGCTGGCGAGACATACTGAGAACAATAAAGAACGTCATTCTAAAGTAACGTAGGTGCACCTGTTTTTACAAAACAACATATCACCATGTGATCACTAATAAGATACGTAAGAACAGCACAGGTCGCACGCAATAGATCACAGTTTGTGATAAATACGTCTATGGTGGTCCCCGAAGACAGAGTAATTCTAGTGGATTCATGATCTAACTAAAGCAGGCACGGCACCACAAATGACTACTATGAAAAACTAGCTCGAAAGTTGTCTCTATGCGTGTATACGAATGTGCACATAACTTTTGAGGCATGTGCACGACGCAGTTAGCAGGCAACACTTCGCCGCATTGTTTACAGGAGGAAGCTTCATGAGAAACACAGCAAAAGCGATGAACAGTAGCTATGAACAGTAGCTTCAACCACTTGCTGCCACTAGTAATCGCCCCATCTCACACGGCGGAACAGGTTTTAGAAAACACCACGCGTGATGACAAGCGAAGGCGCCCACATTGCTATCCGTCGAATCTCCACAAAAATGGCAACGAGCGCGTATTGTATCTTTTCGGAGTCTGCTAGCCGGAAACCTGCCCAAAACAATCCAGAGAGCTTCCGTAACTAAACTATCCTGGAAACGTCTGGCGACCCTCGGGCTCCTCGCAGGTAGCCAGAACCTCGAACCCGAGAAAAATGAACACCAACTGGTAGTGCACCCCGGGGGGGCATGGAGCAACTAAAGAAAAAAAAAAAAACGCGCCCACTCTAGCTGGCTCTGGCGGCCCGCAGGTAGCCAGAAGTGGAAAATCGAAGAGTCCAAGTAGATGCCCTACTGAAAAGCGCACCCACCTTCTCCTCCTTGAGATCGGCCAGGGAGGCAGAGAACTGCAGGCTGGCACGGGCGCTGTCGTCAGGCCGGTTGGCTTCGGATGGAGGGCCCTGCTGTCGGCTGCACATAGACCCAGAATTACACTAAACCTTGAGCTGAAAAGTAGCACTGATCACGAAAATTACTAGATGGAAGGCAGCTGACAACTGCCGACTGCCTTGTCTGCAAGTAAATACTCTATTTACTCATATTACCCCATTCTCTCCTCGTGTTTTTTATCACCCCGTTTTACTGTCAGTAATTCTCAGCTCAAACCACACCGACACTGTTCAGGAAGCTTCGGGACAGCAGTAGATCATTTTCTTAAGATTACGCCCACTTCGTGAACAGCACAGTTTATTCTGGAACCTACCTCGTCGCTAGCGATAACTTTAGAATATTCGATGGCAAGTGTATAAATAGCGACACGCCTCACCGCTTGTCAGTTCATCGACGGCCGATGCTCTGTACGCTATCAGTGCCTTACTCTCTTTTTGCGTGGCCACAAGTTCGGCCCGAATAAACAGTTACTCCTTCGACCTGGAGTATGCTCCCTGCGTTCTTGTCATGATTTCTGACAATATGATAGTACCTGTTGTAAGCATAACCAAAGAATCCTGCAGAGTAAGGTCCATTTACGCACTAAAGAGACACGTCCATTTTGCATGAGATACTGCTCGCAAAAACAGCTGAACTGCCATTTGATAACTATCTGAAGCAAAAGCTTAAAAAGTAGAAAATAGGAATCATGTACAATGTTCCAGGCACAACCCCTTATCCTAATGATAGACTTATTCTAATGATGGACTCAACACAAGGCTCAAACCAGGCGCTGGTCACACCAGACCAAAAAAAAAAAAAGAAGTTAAACGCAGTCCTCTACCGTGTGGACAATTTAACAACAGGAAAGAAAAGCACAGCATTGTCTATTCATTCGCGACTCCAACTAAGCACTCGCCCCCTAATGACGGACCCTAGAAACTGTGCTAACAAGGTACCTTGAAAGGAGATACATTACCACGTTGCACGCATTGAGAAGCGGCCGCATAGATTCCTTATTCCTTATTTTCACCATGCCGCACGTGCAAGCCCGAAAAAGAAGAAAGCAATGTCCAAAGGCAATTGAAGTGTGCTGCAATGCTTTGCATCACGATGGAAAGATGGCAACGTATTGTTCCCTCACTTCCTGAAAGATGCAGACGATGCGCGACAGAGAACGGCGCAAGTGTGGAACTTGCGCATTGGCAATAAGGTGACGGACACGGTAGTTTGTTCTGATGAATTCGCTCGCGACGACTGAATTCGCAATGGTGAGTAGATCATTATTTAGCATATGTGCAGTTTATCAATATTCGGGCTTCTAAGAGCTTTAGGAAATTTGTTGCATTACGTGTACGACTGTATTTTTCGCATATGCTTGTTTTCTGTGCAAATCGCAGTGTTGTTTAAATACAGGTCCCTGACCCATGTCAAACAAAACTGATGGTTCGGGATCCGTACGAATCCCTCGTTCACAATGGAATGAGGGCTGAGCAACAGGTTCTTATGTATCGTTGAGTGCATGACGCTAAGTCCGAGAGTACACGAGATTTAGTGTGCCAAATGATCTTTTGATTGTGTTACTTGTCTGAATGATTAGTAGTTTGAGGTTCAGTCTCGTAAATTTTTCTCCGTAGCCACGATACGTGCATTGTCCCAGCTTATCTCATGGCCAGTCTTCTCGGCATGCTCCGAGAGTGCTTTTTTCACTGTGTGGCCCTTAGTAGTGCAACCCATTCACAAATTAAGCTTCTGTAAGCTTCTGTAAATTAAGCTTCTGTAAATTTTTCAATTTGAATGTGTGTGTATATGGGCACAAACGCGCGTGAGGGTTGCACGTGTAGCGTGCGTGCATGTACAATCTGTTTCACACTTAGGGGAAATCTCGGAACAGATAAATCCCGATGCTGCCAGCGCTGCAGACCGGTGCTGGCAGCAGCTCGTGCATGCGCAGGCACTTGAAGAGCCGTAGTCTTGAACTATGTCATCTGCTATAGTGGCACGCGAGTACAGCGCTGGCCGCACCACCTGGTATGCGATCCGAGATTTCCCTTGAGTGTGAAACAGACTGTCGATGTTCGTGCATATATATATATTGCCACATTGCTTCCCCATGCTTTACTATTGCCCTGTTACACTGTCAGTAATTCTCTGCACAAATCTGTGCCTGTGGTGTTCGAGAGGCTTCAGGGCTGCAGCAGATTACTCTGGAACCTACACGGCCACTAGCAATAACACTGGAACGTTCTATATTAAATCTGACACACTTCACCACTCTTGAGTTGATCGACGGCCAACACTCTGTTCGCCACTATCACTTCACAGTCCACCAAATAAACAGTTTCATCTTCGACCTACCCTTTGCTTTCTTCATCGACATCACAACATCATGAGAATATCATGTCAGTGCATTTGTAGTGAGTAATGTGCATGTGTATATCTGCTTTCAATATCAACTACTGCCAAAACCAAAAAGCAGGTGTTCTGAAACACACAACCTTATTCATTAGAAACTTAACATGATTGCAAACGAAAAGAAAGGACATCTCCTATTACAACCAAAACTTCAACTTGCCTTATCTCATATACACTGGACTAGGGATTGCTCTGTTCCATAATCAAGTGAACAGCATGCGTATTTAGCTTTTGACGAGACGATGGAACTCAATAGGATACATGCAATCAGCAGCACGAGTCGCAGCTTAGTCACCTGGAAAACTGTTATTGCCTTGCCTGTAGCAATGTAGCAACGCAGTGCAAAAGTGCTAGCACCTTCCGATGAGGCCCGCTGCACATGAGCAATTTTCTTTTTCAACCTCGGGCTTCAACTTATTAGGTAAATCTGTTGCAGTTCGCTATTGAAGTAAACCTGGTGCGATTCGCCACTATTTCCACTAATTCGCCAGTGAGATGCTATATGCCGATGAAAATGAGGCAGTCCTTGGCCACCTACCTTTCACCTTCGACGAAGCAATGTGATCCGACACCACATTCAAGAAACTTAAGCACAGCGCCAAGCGAAAGTGCCACATTGACCCTCTTAAGCGCACCCATCTTAGTTACTTTTTTTTAAACCAGTGTTGCCAACACATGGAGCATTTTGTGGACTTTTTAATAAACAACGCATGTAGATGGGGCATTCACCATGTGTTTGCACATGTTCCCACGCCTCTTTGGCTTCTTGCTGACTGTTTTGAGGTCACGTTGCAGTTGGAGAAATGATGCATTATATTGTCATACTCGAGTCCAAAGTCTATGGCAATCAATGGTAGACTCGCAGTTTGTATGCTGCATTCATGGCAATACGCCACTAAGCAAGGTGCTTGGATGTTGTTTTGCACAATGGCATCATCCCAATATGATGACCACGTAGTGTCATAGTGGCAATATTAGACATTGCCCTAGCGGAAAGTTTATGGTGCAATCATCAGCGGGAAGAAAAAAAAATATCAAAATTTGAAAAGAGAATTCAGGGGTGCAATTATTATGTGCCAAAATACAGTAACTAGTTCCACTCATGAGCTCGATGGTGCAGTCACTGCTCAGGACACCAGTGCATGCCCACTGGTGCAGACTTGTTATCATCCTCCGAGGTGTACACACTGCTAACTTCTAAAGTTGCACACAACTTCCTTGACAGCTACAGCTATCACTGGTCATGCAATGTAGTTATTTTTTCATCGTTGCAGGAACAAATTAAAATTCTATTCACAAGAAGAACAATATACAGTGGAACGTTGATAACACTGAGGGGACCATGCAAAACTATTCTACAATAACCGAGCATCATAAAACAAAAAAAAGGAAGAATGTAGGCATCCAGTCTTGAGTAAAAAAAAGAAAATGCAGTTAGTAATGAAGTTGGTAATGCTCCTGTTATTATGAAACCTCACTTCAAGAGAAAGTCATTTTGCATGCTGAAGACAGGGTTCGTGCAGGTTTCCAAAGAGAAAATACAAGGATATTAAAGGACTTTTCAGGACCTGTCACATGTTTCTAGAGTACTAAAAACAGCATGCAATGTTGAAATATTTTAACATTAAAATTTTCAAAATCGACTAATTTTATTGCACTTATCTAGTACATGCCTACTGCAATTATAACAAACATGTCTCGTCTTCACTTTAGCTCACTATAGCTTCACCGCTTGCATAATAAGGAAGGAGCCAGCACCGAAGAGCATTACGGGTCTCTCACTTAGTTTCTTCATTGTTTAACGTAGTAAAGCCATTCCCCATGCTGTTTTGGAAAATGAAACTTTACAACTCAGGCCAAATCGCTGTTTCGGAAATAGGGAGTTTGTCAGGTCGATGCCGATCCATACCTGCCAAGTTCAAAAAAGTTCAATGGTAAGGGGAGGGGGTCGCGCAGATTTTTTTTGCTTCCCTTTCTTTTTTGATCCAAAGGAATAACTGTGAAAACAAACAGGGAGGGGGGTTCAGTAAACATCGGCGTGGCGCAGTCTCCTATCGGCTTGGAGTCGCCGAACACCCGAAGATAGGGTTTCCCAACTACAGTAAAAGGTGTGAATCTCACAGGGAGGTGAACGCATACAGTATCTCTCAAAATTTTGCGTCATCAAAACAACTAGCAAAATCTATTTCTATTGAAAAACACGTGTCTTCCTGAGCGTGTGTTTTCCAGGACGGCCCAGCCAGCTGCCGTTCACATGTGTCCCAGGAAGACACTGCGGGTCAAAGCTTCGCTTAAGAGCAACTGAAATCTTAGTGCCAAAGTGTATCCAATGTACCCAGATCGACAGGGACGTTACTTGATTCTTTGGGCAGGAACGGCAAAACCCTATTAGGGTTTTTTACATCTTTATCGCCTCTACCACTCCATTAGCCACGTGCCCTTGGCTAGTAATCGCATCGTCACAATTGTGGTTTCGCACGCCGCATTGCGGAACACGGTAGTTCAGTTTTCAACGGTAGTTCAGTTTTCAATCCGTGTACACTGGCTGCGCAACTGCCTTCAAAACCATGTCGTTTATTGCCATCCATAATCGTATGTACTGCGATTTTGTCCGCAGCATTTGTGGA